TTGATTGGATTTAGGGCATAACACCTACAATAGGGACATACCATAATACTATACTTTTTTCTCTTTATTATTTTCATTGGATTAGGATTAAAATTGTAAAACTGATGTGGTGTATTTATTACAAAAAAATTAAATTTGAATGTGATTATAATATGGTGTAAGAAACAAAATTTGTTGTGAAATTTATTTGAGAATCTCAAATTCTTTACACGATTTTATGAAAAATTTGTGAGTCGGTTAAGATACTTAAAATACTTTACTATTGTTTGTCAAAGGAATTCATGCAAATGGTAAACAATTAAAAAAAAAAAAAAACCTTTACCGAACGCTTCTTAGGGCAATTGTTTATTAACAAGTTGGCACTAAACTTCAATGAATTCTGAAAGAGGGTTTGTCCAACTAATTATTTTTCTTCGGTTTTTTCCCCAAGTTCAATACCAAATTTAACTATATTTTTTGCCAGCACATTCTGTAATTCTAGTGTTCACGTTTCCTACGAAGCACATAGCCATTAATCAACTTTACTAAGGTCCCATTGTGTTTTGCCGTGGAAATGGGCCAACATTTATTCCATTGGCAAATACGAAGTGCAAATTGGTGAGATTTGACTCTATTTCTTCTTTGGATCTACTTTATAAGGCATTGACCAAGCCACAACCTTGTCATAGAACATTGTCTTCATTGTAGCAAGATTGATATTACCAATGAAAATACTATCTTGAGCAGGCATATTCGAAAATCACTCACCTTTTCTTTTGTTACCCCACGCTAAGCAGCGGTCAGGGACAATTACACCTCAATCCACAAATGTTTGTGATTATCTTTTCTACATTTTTTGCACATCTAGCAATCCACCGTTATAGGCAAAAATATAGACACAAACACACACACACCAGAGTTTTGTAACGATAGCTATTAGCTGCTATAGTATGCAATGAAAAGATCGTCAATGGAATTACAAATCCATCTGGTACAATTCTCCATTAATGATTTTTATTTTATACTGTGTACAAACTCTTGCAGAACCTTAGTGCACACAAAAGGAACAGATACAATTTGCAAAAGTGGAATGTTCATAGTACAAGAGGGAAAAAAAATACAATTACAGAAAAAGCCTAACCACAGAAACAAGATCATTGGGCGCCATCCTCATCCTCTGGCTGACCAGATTCTCCTTGTTCTGGTTCTAGTTCTGGTTCTGGCCCCTCTTGCTGACCATTTAGAGGGCCATTTTCATCTCCTTGTTCTAGTACTGATTCTGGATCCTTGTATTTGTAAATACAAGCAATTAAAATAAACACAAGTAGATTTACAGAACTCAAGGCTGCAAGCACCCAGTAATATCTATCTAGTCTACTCTTGTTCAACGTATACTGGAACCAGTTTTGTCTACCTCCCTTCTCACTAATTTTACCAACCACATAAACCGAAAGCACACTCCCTATGAATCCTAGACCAGATACTCCACTACTTGAGTATTGGAGGTAATTTATCATTGATT